GCCCGATCGACTTGCCAGCAAAAGGTGGGACCTCGCACGGATGACGAATCGAAGAAAATCGAAAATGCAATGAAATTGATCAAAAAAGGTGAGCTCAGCCACGCGGCTCGGAATCTCACATCAACAGGCCTCGCCCCAGGCAGTCCAGCTACGCTTGCGGAATTGACGGACGTGGACCTCCGACCGCCTGCGCCCTCAAAACCAACACCAGACGGTTTTCAGGATTTCAATCCAGATATTGCACTTGTATTGGATCGGGATGTCTTCGCAACTGTCTTACGACAGTCACGCAACGGTCAGAGCGCTGGTCTTTGGGGATGGCGGTACGAATATTTCAAGTTATGCTTGGAAGATACCACCGCTTTCGAACTTCTGTGCGATGTGACGGAGCGCGTGGCAAGAGCAGACCTCCCGGTACACATGCGCGAAATGATGGGAATCTCCACGCTGACAGCATTGAAAAAGCCAAACAACAGAATACGAGGTATAGCTGCGGGGGATACCTTCCGACGCCTGGTATCCAAGTCTCTAGCCCGACAATTCCAAGCCGAATTTCGGAATGCAGTTTGGCCGCATAACTTTGGATTGTCTGATCGTAGCGGAACAGATGCAGCAATCCATTTTTTACGCTACATGACGGATGCCTTCCCAAGGAAAGTGATTGTCAGCATTGACGGGGTGGGGGCATTCGACCACGTTTGCCGGGCAAGAATGTTCGACGAACTTCTTTCGAATCCGTCGCTGCACCAACTTATCCCTTTCATACGACAATGGTATGGGAATGTGTCGAAGTTCCAATGGAGGGACGACGAAGGCGCCGTTCATCAGATTCTGCAAGGAGACGGGGGCGAGCAAGGCGATGCGTTAATGCCAGCGCTCTTCTGCTTGGCCTTACACCCCGCGATCCGCCTAATACGGGACCGCCTCCCCCCGGGAGCTGAAATTGTGGCATATCTTGATGACGTGTACGTGGTCTGCGACCCAGACGAAGTGGAATTTGTGCTGGGCCTTACACAACACATGCTTCAGACCGTATGTCACATTGACACGAACATGGGGAAATTGGCAATCTGGGGCAACGATGCTCTACCATGCCCAGAAGGAGTCGCCGACGCAATTACCACGGCGTGGAAATCTGACCGACCACCCGAGGAGAGGGGTATGAAAGTTCTGGGGACACCATTTGGCACAGCCGAATACATTGATGCATTTTGGGACAAGTTGTCTACTGAGAAGGCGCAGCTACTGAACATTTTACCTAAGCTCCCCTCGAGGCAGGACGCATGGCTCATTCTGTATTTTTGTGCGGTCCCTCGTATGAACCATATTCTGCGTACGCTTCCCCCGGCATCTGCCCAACCGCTGGCAACTATACACGACCGAGACGTTCTAGATGCTTTCATACAGATGTTTGCCCTACCATCGGAGGAAAAATGGGACCCTGAATTTCAAGGAATTCAATACTCTTCATGGGTATCCCAAGCACGCCTTCCGCTACGATTGGCAGGAATGGGTTTACGCGATTCCCGGAGAACGTCGATCGCTGCTTATTGGGCTAGCTGGGCAGACGCACTACCAGGAATAGTCGCTCGGTTCCCTGCCCTAGGCCACTGTATGCTTCACCACCTTACTGTTGCGCAAACTACTACAAGGCCAGGGTATCCTACTGTGCCAATGTGTGTGACGGCCGCGGAACACGCAGGACGACAATGTGACGCCGCAGGCTGGTCAGCACGCCCTACATGGGTCGCTGTGGCTGCAGGGCAAAGACCACCCATTCCGGACGCTACCGAGGACACGCTTGGTGAATGGCGACACGGCTGGCAATTCCACGCGTCGGACCCGATGCAGGCAATCGCTCTAGTGCCCGCGCTGGCCCGGGAACGAGCTCGGGATGCTCATCCTCGCATCCGACGGGGATTTGCGCTGAGCCTCCTGAAGCGATGGTGGGGTATCTTAGGCATCGCACTTCAGACAGCGGTTGCCAGGAGCGTCGTCGGAGCGGGGGGAGACCTCCCGCGAACGCAGCGCGAGCCTCTCTGCCCCATGGCAGACTTGCAGGTTCTGTGAGCTGCGTTTCCTCTTTCCTCCTCCTCCTCCTCCTCCTCCTCGTCCTCCTCCTCGTCCTCCTCCTCCTCCTCCTCCTCCTCCTCCTCCTCCTCCTCCTCCTGTAGCGCTACTCAGTGCGGCGCCCGGCCCTACGCTCAAAGCGTGCAGGGCAGTTTCACTCCGGCAGCGTTGCACTGTCCTTTGGTGTCGGCGAGCTGTTGCGTGAGGGGAACAAAAAAAACACCAAAGACACGTGTCGATTGCAATATCGGTGTTCTCCCACTTGAAAAGTGGTAGCAAATGTAAGTTTCGTCGATACACTTGCAGTCAGATTTCAGAGTGGAGTCCGCCTTGCTGGGGGTGGAACCAGAGAGAACGTAGCGGTCCGAAGAAAAAGAGAAACGCTGGGATACGCCATAACCAGTGGTGTCGGAAGGTGTTCGAAAACGGTTCCAAATGGCGGAACCAAAATTGGAATAAAAAGAAGAGTACTTGGAATCTGACGGAAATTAGATCTGGAGTTGGATTAGATGTGAAGATTGGCTAAAATGGGTGAGCTCAGCCATGCCGCACGCATTCTATCATCGTTTGGACTGGCACCAAGTACAGACACTACTCCACGCGAGCTCCGGGATCCGGCCCTGCGACCCGAAGAATCAGCTGAGCAGGGCCCACAAGGATTCGACACCTTCCAACCAGCATCCGAAATTGTTCTGGATAGGGACTTGTTCGGGGACGTACTCAAGCAAACACGGCCGGTTATGAATATTTCAAAGTTTGTTTGGACAGCCTCTACGCGTGTCGTCACTGACAGCACTCACCAAACCAAACAATCGGGTCAGGGGCATATCTTCTGGGAATGCATTCCGAAGATTGGTTGCGAAGACTTTGGCTCGGCAGTTTTGCTCAACACTTGAAGAGGCGGTGTGGCCTACTAATTTCGGGTTCTGCATCGCCGCTAGCGAGACAAACCCCGCAATCCATTATTTGCGGTACATGTCTGAGGCATGAGCATTGATGGCGTTGGTGCCTTCGACCATGTGAGTAGGGCCCGAATGTTTAAACAACTCATGGGTAATTCTGCACTGCGCAAGCTGATACCTTTTGTGCGCCAGTGGTACGGCATACAATCCAAATTTTTGGAGGGACGACAATGGGAAGGCACATGAAATATTGCAAGGAGACGGCGGGAAACAGGAGGACACCCTTATGCCGGCACTTTTCTGACTCGCGCTACACGCGGAGTTGTGCAGGGTTCCGGATATTCTGCCACCGGGGGCTGAAATCATAGCTTACTTGGATGACATTTACGTCCTCTGTGATCCAGAAGAAACAATGCCGATTTTACGCACCGTCCAAGACGAATTATTACGAACGTGCCGAATTGATGTGAATTTGGGCAAATTAGCGATACAGGCGTTACAACAAGCTCGTGCCCGGAATGATTTTCTCTGATGATATACGCGAGGCGTGGCGGTCACACAAACCACCGGGGGAACGAGATATACGCGTGCTGGGGTCGCCATTTGGTTGCCTAGAATACATAGCGAATTTTGGGGCCAAGCTGACTGCAGAACGGACGAAGCTGCTACACTATATTACTAAGCTCTCCAATCTGCAAGTGGCATGGTTATTCCTATACTCTCTCACCCTCTAGGCCAGAAGGAAGCGGGCGACAGCCCTGTATTTACAGCAGTCGCAACCGTTCTCTTTTCAATCTGTGTGCGACTGAGATGCATAGCGAATCTTTTCGGGACAGCTCGAGCTAGACCGGGGCCGAGGGCCTCGGCCTCCACCAAGGCGGCCCACCGGGCCCGCACGAAACTTCAAAACCCCTTCACCGTAGTGGCGATAGGAGGGGACGGCGGGAGCAAAGACTTGAGCATAGACGGATGCGGCCGGAGGGGAGAGAGAAATACGTTCAGAGAACTGTAGCCTCTCTCGCCCTTTAGGCCAGACGGAAGCGGGCGACAGCTCTGTATTTACAGCAGTTGCAACCGTTCTCTTTTCAATATGTGTGCGACTGAAATGCATAGCGAATCTCTTCAGGACAGCTCAAGCTAGACCGGGGCCGAGAACCTCGGCCTTCACCAAGGCGGCCCACCGGGCCGGCACGAAACTTCAAAACCCCCAGACCAGACGAGCTCCTCGGAGGGCTTCAACGGATCTCACGAGCCAAATCGCAATGGCAGCCGATAACCTCTTAGGGTAGGAAGCCGCGAGAGCGGTTAAGTTGATACCAGACCCCGGAGCCTTACCCCGAAGGATGATCTGCGGTTTCAGACTACAGGAACAACACCCGTGGCCTTTACACAGCAAGTGTTCATGACGAAGCATAGGGACGTGCCAGCCTACAAAGCGAGTGCGCTTACGCCAACGGGCCCCGAAACCGCACTGATCGATCACAAGCTGCTTACAGGAAGGATGGCCCATCAAGGCCGACATTCGCACTTCGCGCCACGCTTTCGAGGCGTGAGGATTCTCGAGCAAAACAGAGACGCGTGCACGGATACAAACCCCTCACAAGCCTACAAGTGACCTTCAGAGTCTGATTACCCGTCTTCAGTCTAGCGGCCTCCGCGGGAGTCGGGTCCGGAATCCCGTAATGGCACCAAGGTCTGGAGTCCAACTGCTGCATGGGAAGGCGGCGAAAATTCCTTCCACCAAGCCGGACTGGATCCAACCCAAGATCACGTTGACTACAACTGGGTTGGTGAGGTCATACTCTGGTCCATTGAGAGAGTCAAAGCTGACGCAACTTTCTTTCATCGAGTTCAGGCGTTCACCAACGGCACCGGTGCCCGAGAACAAATCTAGATACACGCGATTGTCATGACGAAGACTGGCTGCGCGCTGAAAGACTTTCCGAAGTCTACCTCGAATTCAACGAGCAAGCAAATGTTGATCCAAACCCGCGTTGTGGTCCCCACGGCCTCCGTGAAAAGGCCGTCTTATCCCTTCCCGTGCAGGCGCTTCCTGCCCAGTCCGGGCGGCGGAGGCGGCTTGGCCTGCAGGGCCGGCAGCAGCTGCAGCTGGCGCTCGATGGCCAGGCCGTAGTCCCGCACCGGCTTGGCCAGGCACTCCAGCGACTTCAGAACTCTTGCATGCTTCTCGTACCTCTTGACTGATGTGTCCGCGGCCCAGCGGCCGCGGCGCTTGATCTCCTCCAAGAAGCGGGTCTGCCTGAGCGCGTCGTCGCTGGCCCCCCCGCGCCGCATCATGCACGGGTGGAGGTTGGCCTGGCCCAGGCCCGCAGCCTCCGACACGCGCTTGAACAGGCTCGAGAACTTCCGATAGTCGAAGGACCACACCTTGTCCCAGCCTGAGCGCTTCTTCAAGGTTGAGAAGCGCGGGTAGAGGCAAACCAACTCGGGACTGTCCAGCAGGATGCTCTCGTCGAACTCCTTGGTCTTCGTGGGGATGGCCTCTTCCTCGGCCGCCAGCAGCAGCGCCCAGGACTTGGTCCCCGAACCGGGGAGCGGAGGAACGAGCTGATCCACTCGCAGCCCCAGGCACTCGCTGGGCCTCAGGTACGTCCGGAACAGGAACACCAGGCACTGCGCGAACTCCAGCTCGTTGATGTGCAGAGCCGCGCCCACTAGGGCACACAGGCCGATCCACGGCAGAGGCGCCCGGCTGAGACCCGGAGCCAGCCTCCTGAAGCCCTTCAGCGCGTTCTTGGCCCGCTCGAGGACCTTCGCGCTGCGGATGCCTGGGGCCCTGTACTCCAGCGCCGCGATCACCTTCTCGCCCGAGTCGTGGTTGTGGCCCTGGAAGTAGAGGTCCTCCAGGTACTCGAGCATCGCGAAGGAGATGTCCTCGCTGGCGTTCAGCGGCAGGCCGTTGCTGCTGGCCCAGGTCTGGAAGTCCTGAAAGTACCTGTCGTACATCATGGCAGAGGGACGCGTCACCTTGTTCACCTCCAAGAAGTACTGGCCGAAACTGCGTGCCCTCGAAGCTTCGACCTGGTGTGCCAGCTGACGGCGGCGAGCGCGTTGCCTCCGCTGCTGGGCGGGTGGCTGGTGGCTGACCTCCGTCACAGGTCTCCTCGCAGGCAGAGGCTGTGTCCGAGAGAGCAGCAGCCTCTGAGTCGTCGCTATCCGAGTCGAAGTCCTCGAAGCCTCCGTCGTCAATCCAATCGCGCCAAGTGCTTGATGGTCCCAGCGTGTAAGGCCCGCCGCCCGGACGCCAAAGCCCGTCGTCGAACTCGGGTGGGGCGTCTGGGTCGCCGCTGGCTCGGGCGAGCGCCTCGACAGCAGCCTGGGGCGAGGCGCGCGCCTCCGGGCCTCGGGCTGCCCAAGGTGGACGAGCATCCCGCGGCCCGCCGCCGCCCCGCACGGGCGGCCCCGTCTTGATCCGGGAGGCGGCGTCGGAGGGATTGAGCTCTGAAGGAATCCATCTCGAGACGAAGTCCGAATCCGATGCCATCGACAACGCAGCTAGTTGACGACAGTGCCGGTTGACGACCACGCTGCTCGCCCTGCCCTTCCCCTGCGCCAAGACGAACCCCAAGTTGTCTCCAAGGAAGAGGTGGCGAAAGGAGAAGTGACGAACCGACCGAAGACGATTCCTGGCAGCGATAACCGTCGCCCCCCCCCTCTGACGACGTGATGTTCTCGGCCGCTCGCCAGCGGCCACGAACCGTCAATCCCCAGCTAGAGAAGGGCCCGATACTCTCGCGCCGGATGTCCATGAGCTCGGGATGGAGCTCATCTGGTAGAGCCCCCTCACACGGCCGCGGCGCGCCCGACGGCTCCGCATCGGAAGCCAAGGCGCGGCGGCGGGCCTGCGCGGCATCCTCGACTGCGAACCTCCAGCGCTCGCTCTGCCGGCCCCACTCTCTCACTGTCTGGAGGTCGAAGGGCTTCACCACAATGCCGAACCCCCCGTTGTCCGTGACGTTGGCGCCCTCGGAGTCCGTCGCAACGACCTGCGTGCTCCAAGGTTTCTTGCTGTCCGTGTAGGCCAGAGGCAGCGCCATCATCCAGCGGAGCTCCCGGGCTACCGCGGGCCAGATCTTGATGCGCGAGTCGCCAGCCACCTCTATGAAGCGGTAGATCGAGTGCGGAATGCTGAGTAGGCACCTCCTCAAGATAGCCGACCAAGTGAAGTGCCCCACGATGCGATGCAAGACCTTCCCCGAGACGAACCCGTCCTCGAGGATGGCTACGATGGCGAGGCGCACCTTCCAACAACGGCGGTGGCCGACTGAAATACGTCCAGTGGCCTGGTCGAGCGCCATGCCCGCGAACTGGGCCTCGGGCAAGCCGTGCTCGAGATCCTTGCACTGGAGCCCGTCCGCCGCGAGCTGGGCGTAGAGCTTCTTGGCCATGTCCCTGACGACGTCGTCGCTGGTGCCGATGACCCCCGCGTTGTCGACGTAGATCGCCGTCCCGAACTTGTCGCCAGTGATGTCGGGCGCGTGCTTCTTGTCAAGCAAGAAGGCCTCCGACGGCACGCCCGCGCGGACCGCGCTGGCCGTCGCCATTGCCTGGCAGAAGTAAAGAGCCCACGACCAGCCCATGGCCATGACCTCAAGGTGAGGCGTGACGTAACCGGTCGCGGTCACGCCAAGCTTGGTCGCCAACTTCCCGTTGGCTCGATGAAGGTGCCGAGCAGAAACCGGGGCAGCGCAAAAAGGTCCGAGACGCCGGGCGGCGCCTTGCAGCGGTAGAAGGCGTTGTCGACGTCCATCTGGGACAGGATGAGGTCGTCCGTGAGCCCGATCTCGACGGAGGCCCATGACGCAGGGGTTGGCAGGCGCGAGTGCGCCGGCTCGTCGAAGAGGTCGTTGACCGCTCTGGTGTCCAGGATCACGCGCAAGCGCCCGTCCTTCTTCGCCACGAAGAAGATGCCAACCGTAGCAGGGCGCTCAGCATGTATGGTGACCAGACCGGCCTCCAGCATTTGCATGGCGAAGTTACTGTACCGCACCTGGTCCTTGACCAGAGAAGGGTCGCTGTGCGGGCGAATTGGGGCATTAGCCGAAGTTGAGCTGCCAGAGGACTCTGGCCGCAAAGTAGTCGAACACACACCTCCAGCGTTCAAGGGCCTGACCGGACAGCACCTGCTCGCCGTCCGCCAGGCCGCCCACCGTGGGCAAGGGGACTAGGTCAGGCTGGAAGTTGCGCCTGGGGTCGCTGTCCGCGTGGCCCGGGCGGATGCCGCCAAGCTCGCTGAGGGCTTGCGCGGCGGTGCAGGGGGGCGGGGGCATGGCCCGATAGACGTCGGTAAGGATCTCGACACTCCGGCGCTGAGCGAGTGAATCTCCCAGACCAGGTGGAGCATAAATTGGGCAGCCGTACGTCTCATTCAAGCACTCCACCGCCGAATTAACCCAAGCCTGCCAATGCCGACGAACGTGCGCACGGCGTCGCGCAGATCGGCACCCAGAGGCTGGAAAGAAAAAACAATCTTCACGAGGATATGGCAGCGCGAGGGGTAGAAGTTCGCGGCTGACTGCCATCCCTGCTTTCGGCGGCTGGACGGGGGCCCCAGCCGCCTGGCCGCTCAAGCGCCTCCAGCCCCCGCCTTGCCCGCCGCGGTGGCCTTGTCCAGGCCCTTCGCGTGCGCCTTGGCGGCGGCTCGCTCGGCAGCTCGCTCAGCCTTAGTCTTGCCCTTGCCCCCGGGGCCGTCCGGGAACGTCAGAAGGCAGGCCGCAGCGTCCACGAGGGGTCGCTGGACATGAGAAGCCTGACCTGCCTGTAGCCTCCTCTCCTCGTTCAGCTTCCTCGACTCCTTCGCGATCGTGCTCTCGCGGTGGAGCTCCGACGCCACGAACTCCTCCAACAGTGGACAGAGCATCAGCTGCCCACGCGTCTCTCCGACCCCGAGGTAAAGAAACTCGTCCTGCAGGAGAGCGTCGACCTGGCCGTCTGTCCTCAGCACCTTGTGCTTGTAGCGGTACTCGGCCAGCTGCGCCCGCCGCAGGAGAAGCTCCACGAACGATAGTTCAGCGGCGTTGACTTGGTCGTAGGTCAGGGCGTACTCCACGGCCTTCATCGCCGTTTCATGATTTGAAACTCCAGGGTCCGCAATAGAGAGCCCGCACGTCGACTTCCACCACGAATGACGAGCCCTCGGGTGACCATTAGTCTGAATAATAAACTGCCAACACCACTTTGTAGTCCGCGGCCCCGTCAGGGGCCATGAGTCCCACGCCGTCTCCGTGACCAGGTCGACAGCGATCTTGAAGTCCTTGAACCGCTTGCCCAGCCGGTCTCGCGACAACTCCAGGATGCGCGCGTCGAGCTCCGCCTCCCCGCCATCGTCGCCAGGGTCGACCGGCCCCGCACCGCGGTCCGCGATGAACCGCAGCGAACCGTCCTTCAGCAGCATGCCGAACTCTGGGCCGACGACCCAAACGTCCCCACTTGGCGAGTCGAGGGCCAGACCGTTGGCGGAGCTGACGTCGACCCAGCGGCCGTCTGGGGCAGGAAGGCGGCCTCCCCCGAACGTGACCCCGAGCTCGTCGGCGATCTTGAGAATCCTGTCCTCCGGGGCGGAGGCGGGCGGGGCCTGCGGCGTCAAGGTGCCGCCGACAACAGGCGCGAGGGCACCGCCACCGTCGTCAGGCTCACCGTCGTCGTCCAGAAGAGGCTCTGCGTCCGGAGCCGGAGCCACTTGACCACGATTCTGTGCTCGACAGACTGCTCGAGCTCTCTCGTACTGTGCTGGCCGAAGGACCTGTCCAGACTCGAACAGCCGTCCCCAATGAGATGGAGGACCCAGGCAGGCCTCCCGCAGCGGCGTCCCCTCGAGGTCGCAGGGCGCGATGCCGAGGAGCGGCGGCACGCTCAGCTCCTCCGGGTAGATGTCCCCGGTCGGCGTCCACACCCACATGATGAGAGCGGAAGGATCGTCTGCTGGCTCGCCCATCACGCGGGCCAGCACCACCGCGTCGCACGGCTCTATCAGCGTCCGTCGATGCCACAGGCGGCGCTCGGTGTCGTAGCGGACGATCACCTCTCTCCCTGGCTGCATATATCGGCGGGCCAGCTCCGGCATCCTGTCGCCAGGTGCAGGAGTCCAGCGCAGCACCCACAGCCAGCCCGAGGGCGAACGTGAGGAGGCACAGCGAGTACGGGGAGCCGAAGTAGCTTGACTGCACCGCGCACGTCAGAGCGTTCGAGGCCAGAGGGGAGAGCGCCGGCCAGGCAAGCTTCCCAGCTTCCCAGAAGGCAGTGAAGGCGGTAAAGATCATTCACCTCAGGCGTCGCCGCTTCGCAAAGACTTGAGCATAGACGGATGCGGCCGGAGGGGAGAGAGAAAGACGTTCAGAGAACTGTAGCATATTGCGCTGTACCACGGTTGAACCACATCCTGCGCACAACACCGCCATTATTGGCACACGCGCTGGCTGAATCCCATGACACTTCCATTACGGCAACATTCCTATCCTTGTTTCGTATTCCAACACGGGAAGAATGGAATATTGAGCTTCATGGTGTCTCTTTTGACAATATGCTTAAACAAACAACACTTCCTCTACGACTTGCGGGGATGGGGCTGCGAAGTGCACAACGGACAAGTATGCCGGCTTACCGGGCGAGCTGGGCAGACGTATTACCAGAGATTCTTCAGAGGTTTCCGCAGATTGGGAATCAAATTGTCCATAGGCTGACGCAGTTACAGTCGATTGCCGACAACGACACAATGGTTGGACCACTGTGCTTGCGAAGCGCTGAAGAAGGAGGCCGACAGTGCGACGCAACGGGATGGACCGATCGACCAACATGGGCAACCTTAGCAACAAGGGCCAAACCACCGGAACGTGAACCCAACGAAACGACCCTAGGAGAATTCCAGCATGGATGGCAATACCACGCAACCGTGCTGCTAGAGAAAACAACCCACTCACGGTTATTGCAAGACCTCGCGCCGCCGGGGGTACGAATATCCAAGTGGCTCCCAACGATTTACGACGATTGGATATTGTTGTGCCGGGGCTTAATATCGACCGGGGTCTGCCACTGTTCTGCGACGTTACCATAATGACCCCCATCTCCAGAAATGGGTTCCCGAGATCTGGTACTAGCAACCGGGGCGGAGGGCTTTTGGAACAAGCCCACCGCAGGAATAACTGGGACTACCGAGAAGTGCTGGAGAGCGGATTGGGTTCATTATACTGCCTGGGGGCCGAGGTCTACGGAAGATGGGGATCTAAGTGTATCCAGCTTGTGCCAAATCTGGCCCGTGAGCGCGCTAGGGGGTTGCATGGCAGAGTTCGTCGCGGCACAATTCTTAGCTTGCAACATCGGTGGTGGGGGTTACTCGGGGTCGCTCTGCAATCTGCCGTAGCACGTGCCGTGTTACGGGAGACAGCGGACCTCCCCGCAGTACAGCTCGAACCCGCCCCGCCGATAACAGACTTAGAAATTGTGTAGTCTTTGTTTGTCCCCCCTCCTCCTCCTCCTCCTCCTCCTCCTCCTCCTCTTCCTCCTCCTCCTCCTCCTCCTCCTCCTCCTCGAGCGCTGCTTTGTGCGACGGCGGCGGCTGGTTTTGGTTTCACCCCTGCTCGGTTTGCGAGCTTGGCGCTTTTGTCACCTGGTCCGACGCTGGTGCGCAGAAAAAAAAAAAATGTCGTAAACCGGAGTCGGAAAATCTCGAATTTCGGGTCCCGGAGTGGATACTTCGCCAATCCGCTTCCCCGCCAATGGGGTGACCCCATGCAGTGAGATGGGGTACTTCGCGCCACGCAAATGGACAACCCCGCGCGCAAAGGCTTAGCAGCAGAAAATGCAAACCGGGCGAGCGAGACAATGCAATCACTTCCAAGTCGCTGAATACCGGGGTCGGGAAAATACCAGGAGACAAAATCGGAGTGGGGTGGTAAGACACATTTCCCCCCCACGCATCAACATCGAAAACGTCGATCAAGGCACGGACCGGGAAACCTGGCCGAGGTGAGCCGCACGCTACTGAAGAACGAGCGCCTAAGCAGCGTCACGAGAGGAGGAGGAGGACGAGGAGGAGGAGAAGGAGGAGCAGCAGGAGGAGGAGGACGAGGAGCAGGAGGAGCAGGAGCAAGAGCAGGAGGAGGATGAGGAGGAGGAGGAGGAGGAGGAGGAGGACGAGGAGGAGGACGAAGAGGAGGAGGACGAGGAGGAGGAGGAGGGGGAGGAGGAGCAGGAGGAGGAGGGGAGCAGGAGCAGGAGGAGGAGGAGGAGGAGGAGAAGGAGGAGGAGGAGCAGGAGCAGGAGGAGCAGGAGGAGGAGCAGGAGGAGGAGCAGGAGGAGGAGCAAGAGGAGGAGGAGGAGGACGAGGAGGAGGGGGACAAAAACGCGCCCGTGCGGCTACACTACTTCGAATTCGTCGAGCGGGCACGTGGGCTCCAATTTCGTAGTGGGAAGGCCGGCATAGTCGTGCAGAAGTGTATGCGCCACCGCACGTTGTAATGTGATCCCCAACATGCCCCACCACCTGTGCAGGAACCCCATAGTAGCCCCCCGGTGTATTCGCACGTGTAAGTTTCTACACCGTTCGCGTGCGAGCGCGGGTACGAGGGCCACACTTTGATTTGCCCATCTTCCATATATTTCGCACCCAAGGCGCTGTAGAGAGCCCAGGCCGTGTGAAATAACGTCCCCGTGCGTGATATTATTGTCTCTCTCCGCTCTTTGTAGTAATCTCCCGCCTCTGTTACTGGTCTCTGCTCTGGGCGCCCCATACTCACTGATGGGGGACACGATGATGACATCGCAGAATTAGTGGGAGGCCATGTGCGATATTAAACCCTGGCACAACCAGATCCAATCGTCTATCATCTTGTGGTGGTATTGGGATGTGTGTATGCCGTAATAACCTCTCCACGCTTCTCAGGAATCGTACCTCCTGCCTCGGTTAAGACTTGGCGCTATGTGGTGAGTAGCCACGTGTGCCTGGAATTCAATATGCCGCCCAAGTTGGTAGTCAGTGTTGAATGGCCATGCTAGTCCCCTCCATCATACCGCGCAGCGATGCCGAGCCGGCGTCGGACTGCACAGGACATGTATACATTGCCTATTCTCAAATTATCGGTTGTGGGGGAAGTTGTCAACCACGTAGAAGCGCACGGGCCCCTGCAAGAGTAGAGCCGACTTTTGCCCACTGTAGCTGCATTGCGGCGTGCTCCCGGGCCGCCCCCTTACGGTTTGCAGGACGTTGTCGTATGATGTTTTGTCCAGGGCATCCGAAGCGTGAAATTGCCAGCCATGACTCCACTCGCCCGGGGAC